TGGGGTCCCCCTGGACACTTAGGACCCCTTTGGGAGGGTTGTGGAGTCTGTTCTAGGGGTCTCGGGTCCCTCCTGGACAACCGGGACCCCTCTGGGCCAGTTTTGGTGGCTCCCGGACACATGGGACCCCTTTGGGGGGTTTTGAGGTCCCCAATAACAGGGCATCAGATGCCTGGGTCCCACTGAGGTGATTCTGGGGTCCCCCATGGGGGTTTGGTGGTCCCAGACAGACACCTGGGCCCTCTCTGGGCTGTTTTTCGCGTCCCACAGGACACCTGAGTCCTTTAGGGGCCTGTTTTCAGTTCTGCCCTGAGGGTTGGGGTCCCTCCTGGACACCTGACACCCCCCAGGGCAAGTGTTGCGGTCCCCCTGAGTCCCCTCTGGGTGCCCAGGCCCTGCAGGGGTTGGGGTTCCACCCGGAGGATTCGAGGAAGCCTGAGTGGGGTTTGGGGTGGTACATGGAGGATTTGTGGTCTCACACGTAGGATTTGGGGGTGTAGGGCCTCACATACAGGATTTGGGGTTTGGGGTTCTCACCTAGAGGATTTCATGGGGTTTGCAGTCTCACCTGAAGGATTTGGAGTTTGAGGTGTCACCTGGAGGACTTTGGGGCTCAGGGGAGGGAGGGTTGGGGGTCTCACCTGTAGGATTTGGGGGGTTGGGTCTCACCTGGAGGATTTTGGGGAGCCCAGGGAGGGGTTTGGCATCTTACCTGGAGGATTTTGGGGTTGTGGTCTCACCTGGAGAATTTCAGGGTGCCCATAGGCTGCTGCCAGGTGCAGGGCTGTCCGGCCTCTGTGGTCAGCAGCATCAGGATCAGCTCCTAAGACTAGCAGGTCCTGCACAATTCCTGGGGCCGCCGCTGTTGCTGCCACCAGGAGCGGGGTCTGGGAGGGCAGAAGGGGGGGTCATGGGGATCTGAGGGAGTCTGGGGGGGAGGTCAGGGGGTCTTGAGGATAAAAGAGGTGTCTATGGGGGTCTAGTGGAGGGAAAGGGAGGGTCAGTGGGGTCTGGGGGAATCAGGGGTGGTAGGGAGAACCTGGCACCCCCAACCCCCAAATTATCACCCTGGTGCACTGTTACTGTTCTGCCCCCCTTATCACCCTCTTACCATCCCCTAAATAATTATCTGTTATTAACTGCCCCTTCATTAGCCCTTTAGTGGCCTCTAATTACCCCATTACTAATTACCCCTTTTCCCCCCATCACTCACCCATCACCCCATTATTAGGCTGTGACAGAACCCTGTGATTAATTACCCCAGAATTAACTACCCCATCCCCATAATTAATTACCCCCATAACCCTGGGATCACGCCATTCTTGCCCTTTTACCCCCGCCACCCCCTTATTGCCCCACGAGGACTCACTTACTGCCCTCATAGCCCCCTTTTTTACCCCTTGTGCTGCCCCCTCACCTTTCCCAGGTGCTCCCGCATCTCGAGCCCTCCCAGATCCCGCAGAGCCTCGGCTGCAGCCCGGGCGGCCACCCGCAGCCCCCCTGCACAGAGCACGTGCAGCAGCCTGGGGGTGGAGGGGGGTTAGACGGAACTCCCTTGACCCCCAGACACCCCCCCAGGGATCTGTCACCCTGTGGCTCCTCTCAGCACCCCACAACTGCCCCGGGGGCTTCCCAGCACCCTTCTTGCCCCACTGACTGCACCACTGACAGCCCCATTGCCTCCTCATTATCCCCCC